TACTTGGATAAAATCCCGCCTGTGCCACTTATTAGCTGTGTGACCTTAGCAGCTACTTAACCTCTCTGCCCCTCTGTTTCGACTTCTGAAAAATGAAGATAATTATAATACCTACATCTTAAATTTAAATTTTAAAAAATTTAGGTGAAATTCACACACCATGTAATTAATCATTTTAAAGTATACATTCAGTGGCATTTAATACATTCACAATGTTGTACAGACACCAACTCTATCTAGTTCAAAATATGTGCATCATTGAAAAAAGGCACTTTGTACCCCTAAGCAGTCACCCCCATATGCCTTTATCCCCAGCCCCTGGCAACCACCAATCTGTTTTCAGTCTCTATGGATTTATCCATTCTGGGTATTTTGTATAAATGAATCATATAACATGTAAATGCAGTTTGTCTCTGGCTTCTTTTCCTTAGCATAATATTTTCAAGGTTCATCCAGACTATAGAATATATTAGTATTTTATTCCTTCCTATGGCTGAATAATTATTCCATTGTATGGATATATAATTTTATTTATTCGTTCATTTTTTGATGGGTATTTGGGTTGTGTCCACCTCTTAGCTATTGTGAATAGTGCTACTATGAACATGTGTATACAAGTATTTGTTTGAGAACCTGCTCTCTGTTGTTTGGAATATTACCTAGAAGTGGAATTGCTGGGTCATATGGTAATTCTGTGTCTAGCTTTCTGAGGAATGTCAAACTGTTTTACACCATGATGCACCATCTTACATCCCCACCAGCAGTGTGTGTACAAGGGCTCCAATTTCTCCACATCCTCACCAACACTCATTGTTTTCCGGGTTTTTTTTAAATTATTGGATTTTCTGTCTTATTAATTAGAAGTACTTTCTTGCATATTATAGATATTAACCCATTATCATCTTTAAGCATTATAAATTTCTTCTATCATTTGTATGAAAACTGTCCATGTTGTCCTTAGTTGAAAAAAAATTTTTGATAGAAAGACTCATCACCAATATTTTGCCTTATGGTTTGTGGTTTTTAAGAAGTCCCAAGATCACAGATATTCTGCTAAATTTTGACCCACAGATGTTATTTTCTCTTTCATATTTATATCTTTAATTCATCTGTAGTAACTGTCTTTTTTCATTGATTTTTGGTTTTACTTTTATCATATACTAAATTTCCATATATACTTAGGCCTGTCTCTGAGCTTACTGTTTTTCTTCCATTGGTCTATTTGTCTATACCACACTATTTTTTTAAAAGATTTTATTTATTCATTTGACAGAGAGTGAGCACAAGCAGGGGGAGCGGCAGCCAGAGGGAGAGGGAGAAGCAGACTCCCCGCTGAGCAAGGAGCCCAATGTGGGGCTCAATCCCAGGACCCCAGGATCATGACCTGAGCCGAATGCAGACACTTAACCAACTGAGCCACCCAGGCACCCCTATGCCACACTATTTTTTAAAATATGACCTTATAGGGGAACACCTGGGTGGCTCAGTCAGTAAAACATCTGCCTTCAGCTCAGATCATGATCTTGGGGTCCTGGGATCGAGTTCTGCTTCGGGGTCCCTGCTCAGGGGGAGTCTACTTCTCCCTCTCTCTCTGCCCCTTCTCCTGCTTATGTGCTCTCTCTCTCTCAAATAAATAAACAAAAATCTTTAAAAATATATATATATGACTTTATAGGAGGTCTTGATATCTGATAAGGCATATTTCCCCCCTTCTAGCTTTTATTTTTTAAGATTGATTTAGCTATTGGATCTTTATTTGTTCATATACATTTTTATAATTTACAAATACTGATAGTTTGGGGTTTTTTTGTTTGTTTTAGAGAGAGATCTCTAAGTCAGGGGGAGGGGCAGAGAGAGAGAATCTCAAGCAGACTCCCTGCTGAGTGCGGATCCTCAGGGGAGCTTGATCTCACAACCCTGAGATCATGACCTGAGCTGAAATCAAGAGTCAGTCGCTTAACTGACTAAGCCACCCAGGCATCCTCAAATACTGATAGTTTTATCTCTTACCTTCCAATCTTTACACCTCTTACTTCTTTTCAAATTCTTTATTCCATTTACCAGCATCTCCTATACCAGTAACATTGTTGGAGGTATCCTTGTTTGATCCCAATTTTAAAGGGAATATATACATAGTTTCTCCATATAGTATAATGTTCATCATAGGTTTTGGTATATCACTTTTAGTAAGTTAAGGGTGTCTCATTCTCTTTCCAATTTGTTAGAATTTTGATTTTTTAAATCATAACTAGGTATTAAACTTTGTTAACTGCCTTTTTTTTGGCTTTAACTGAGATATTCCTCTGATTTCCCCATTTTTATTAATGTGATTAATTACACTGACTGGTTTTCTAATACTCAGTCTTCCTTGAATTTCTTTTACAAACTCTATTTGATCATAACATACTATTTTAACTCATTGTTAGATTTGAATAGTTCATGTTATATTTAGAGTTTTACATCTATATTGATGTGAAATAGACCTATATTTTTTTTCATATAATCTTTGATTTTAGAACAAATGAGCTTAGGGAAAAATATGTTTTTATTTTTGCTTATCTCTGTTCTCAAATTTCCTATAATGTGAATGGAAAGCTACTATACCCATACAGTGAGATTATCAATCTTCTTTTCCTAATTTCTGGAATCACTTCTATTACATAAGACTTAACTGTTCTTTCCAAAGTTTGGTAAAATTCATCTGTAAGACAATCTGGGGCCTGAGACTGGGAGGTAGAACTTCACCATTTACATTTTAAAACGTTGATTGGTCTATTTTGCCAAAGGTGAGAATTCACGTATGGCTGTAAACCCCAGGCCCATCTTACCCCTTCCTCACGTGGCTCAGCTGACCCTCTTGCCATTGTTCCTGTAGTCTCTGTTCTCCATTTCTATCTTCCAGGCCCACACAGCAAATTCACTTACCACATCCCTAAGTGATGTCTGCCCCTCTCCTACAACAGATTTTTGTTTTTTGTTGGTTTTTTTTTTTTAAGATTTTATTTATTTGAGAGAGAGAGACACAGTGAGAGAGGGAACACAAGCAGGGGGAGTGGGAGAGGGAGAAGCAGGCTCCTGCGAAGCAGGGAGCCCGATGCGGGGCTCAATCCCAGGACCCCGGGATCATGACCTGAGCCAAAGGCAGTCGCTTAACCAACTGAGCTACCCAGGCGCTCCTCTAAAAATAATCTTATAAAAAATAAAATAGGATGGGGTGCCTGGGTGGCTCAGTGGTTAAGCGACCGCCTTCGGCTCAGGTCATGATCCCGGGGTCCTGGGATCGAGCCCCGCATCGGGCTCCCTGCTTCGCAGGAGTCTGCTTCTCCCTCTCCCACTCCCCCTGCTTGTGTTCCCTCTCTCGCTGTCTCTCTCTCTGTCAAATAAATAAAATCTTTTAAAAAAATAAAATAGGATGTTGTCAAGAACATTTTCATCTCTATTACATACTTCTCAAAAAATAACCCTTTCAGAAAATTTTTTCTTAGGAAAAAAGTGTCTTAATGGGTTTGTTTTTATTTTATGGTCACTGAGTCTTAAACCTGAGCATGTTTCCTCTGCTTTGGCCTTAGGAAACTCAGAGCTAGAATTCCAACTGCCATGCAGAACAATATGAGACTCATTTCTGCAAGCTCTTTTTTTCTCCTGAATTTTTATTTCTTACTGCCCTAACCCTTTGCCCTGAATATCTCAATTATTAATTTTGTAGTAAGAGTTTCTCCTATCTTGAACACCCTAATATGTTCTAGGCAAATTACATATATCATCCATTTAATCTTCATAGCAAGCTGTGAGATTGGGACGTTGTCTATCCTTTACAAATGAGGTTAGTAAATTTAAGTCACTTGTTCCTGGCCACATAGGTAGCAAGCGGAGAGCCCAGAAGCCAACTGCTCTGACTCCCAGGTGCATGCTCCACCAGCTGTCTGAAAGGGTGGTCTACTTATTAAGATACAGGTTCCTGGGCACCATTCCCAACCTGGTAAATAAGAATCTCTTTGAGGGAGGCCTCGGTGGCTCAGTTGTTAAGCATCTGCCTTTGGCTCAGGTCATGATCCCAGGGTCCTGGGATGGAGCCCCATATTGGACTCCTGGCTCTGTGGGGAGTCTGCTTCTCCCTCTGCCTCTGCCCTGCTTATGTTCCCTCTCTCTCTCTCTCTCTCTCTCTGTCAAATAAATAAAATCTTGAAAAAAAGAAAAAAGAACTTCTTTAAGTTGTGGGAGGGGCCAATAACCTACATTTCAACAGGTTTCCCAAGTGACTCTCATGCATCCAAAAGTTCAAGAATTCCTGTACAAGCATATATAGCTATATGCCCTCTATCTGTTGAGATACTGCACAAAGCTTTTCTAACAATTTTTCCCTAACCAAACAGATATTACTTTCTGTAAAACATCAAGTCTCTCATGCTGCTGACCTTGGGCATGTGTGGATATTCATGTGCAATTATTATTATTCATTCTGCCTATCTCTTCTTTGGACTGGCCCTAATGAAAGCACAGAGGTACCCAGATAGAAGTGAGCAGGCCTCCCAGGCCACTATGCATAAGGTAACATGAAGCTCAGAACCTTGCTAGAGTAAAAGTAGTCACTCCCACGTGAGCTTGGATAAGCATTATGACTCCTCAGGGTTCACCCTGCAACCACTAGCTATGAACTACTGATGGGTAAGGACTTATGTTTGCTCTAATTTTTCCCAATATTTTATATCAGACTGGCCTCCAGCCTTAATGTCCTGGGCTGATGCATCCAGAAGTTAAGACCTGTGTGAGGTCAGGGAAGTTTCAGTTCTGCCCTGTGTAGGGAGAAGTTTTAATAGGGGTTTTTATGCACGCTATAACACGTAGCCTACCAGTTTTCTCTCCTTAGAGAAATTGGGTAACTCAGCAGGATCTAGTCCCTGGGATGCTTAGCATGGTTGGAGGCATGTGGCCCTCCCTGGGGCGTTCCAGAGCCACAGCCCCACTCTGCAGCCTGATCAGGGCCTGTCTGGTTGTTGCAGTGCAAGCCACATGGATGGCCTACGACATGGTGGTGATGCGCACCAACCCCTCACTGGCAGAGTCCATGCGCCGGCTGGAGGATGCCTTCCTCAACTGCAAGGAGGAGATGGAGAAGAACTGGCAAGAGCTTCTCAATGAGACCAAGCATAAACAGTAGGCCCCCTGCCCACCCACGGCCACCATGCTGCCATCTGCCAATGTGGAGAAGCTCCTAAGGCATGGAGCCTTCTCTGCTGGCAGAGTAACAGCGACCTAAATATAGCTGTATTAACAGTACTTGTTTCTCAATAAACTTATTTTTAAGAACAACCTGAGGACCCCTGTCTGTCCTACCCAGCAGCATATCAAACCTTGCGAACAAAAATGAGAATTATAAGATGCAGATGCTTTCAATGAATTAAACATATTTAGTGCCAGTAGCACCAAGCATAGAATAAAAAGCAAAAACAGGGCCAGATAGACAAACCAGGTCAGAGGGTGGGACAGGTAGCAGTATTCAGTCAGATTTATTTACCTTCCTATGGTGGATTCCAAAATAGGCAAAGGGGAACATTATTTATTCATCCTGGGCACTGTGCTAGGTGCTCACATATGTGACCTTATGTTCTCACCAACTCTCCTGAGTAACAGATGTTCATTATCCCCCAATTCACAGAGGAGAAGAATGAAATTAGATGTCTCTTCCAAGTCCACAGCTACTAAGGGAAAGAGCTCAGGGGAAACCTGGGTCTCACGTAAGAACGGGCGTTGGTGGGAAGTGAGGCTGGCTTCTAGAGGGGCAGAGCAGGTGGGAGAGACCCCACAGAGGGGCATGAGCCCAAGTGGTCCTGGCCAGGCCTGGCCTGGGTTTACAGTCAGGGGCTGCAGATAGCAGAATGGTTTCAAAGACAAGCGTTCTAGGCCTCTGGGATCAATTAGACAAAGGAGGGCTACAGAGTTGTTCCCAAGCCAAGCCAGGTTCCTGAGGCCTGAGGCAAAGACATTTTCCTGGGAACTTTTCTGTTCCTTGTTCCCCCTTCCCACTCCCTTATAGACTCCTTGCCCAGCTTGGAGCCCTAGGGACAAAAGACAGGAAGTGTGACTTGTTTCTAGCCACCTCCTTCCTCCTCTCAGCAGTCACTCAGCTCCTCCACAGGCCAAATCCTGGTCCTTAAGGACACAGCATCAGTCCCTGGTGCTCAGAGTACCAGTAGACCCACAGACAGATGTTTTTCCAGGCAGTGTGGTGCTGCCAGAGGGAGACTGGCCCTGGAGCCCAGAGAAGGAGCACCATCCTGGAGGAGGGGTATGTGAGCCAGCTGAGGTGTGAGGGCAACAACTAAGTCATAAAGGAAGTAGACAGCATTCTGTGGTGGGAGGGTGGGAAACGGGCTAGGGATGCCCAGCAACCAGCTCACAGGTAGGTACAAGGAGCCTGAGCTCCCAGGGGGAGAAGTCTCTCTTAAGGGCTGGGGGGTATGGAAGGGGGAAATCATGAGTCTATTAAAACAGAAAAAGAAAGCTGTCCCAGAAACAACAGCAGAAAGTTCTGGATCCCAGCCACCTTCTGTGCCCCACCTGCCAGCAGACTCCCAGCCCCAGGGTTTCCCCCGAGAGCAGCAGCTCAGAGGGCAGTCTGCAGTGGATCGGTGGCAGGCAGAGTCAGGATGAATGGAGAGAGGACCCCTTTATTCCCCAGAGCAAAGGGCTGCAGCTCCCTGGCCTGGAACTGGGCAGTCCCCTCGGAGACCGTAAAGGTGGCCGTGACCTGGTGGTTGAGGCAGTAAATGGTGTTGCCCAGCGCGGTGCAGTGGAGTGGGGCCGGGTCGGGCAGCGGCAAGGAGGCCGCCCGGCTCCAGGAGCCGGTCACGGTGTTGTAGCGCATCACCGCAGCGCCCACGCCCCGCAGCAGGTCGAAGCGGTAGAGGAAGGCTCCCAACGCCACCATGTCGCTGGAACGCCGGTGGCTGGCGCTGTAGGGGCACTCATCCCACGCATCCTTCCCAGGGCTGTACCTCAGCAAGCGGTAGAAGAGGTGGCCCCCGGTGACGTAGATGTCCCCACGGCAGGCCACAGCCTCATGGGCCACAGGGAAGGTGCCCGCAGGGAGGGGCGCGCGTGAGGTCCAGGCGTCCGTGCGCGGATCGTAACGCTCCATGCTGTACAAGCACTCGCCACCGATGGCGTAAAGCAGCCCGTCCAGAGCCACCAGCTTGAGCTGGGCACGGGCCTGCTGCATGGGCCTCACCTGGCTCCAGATGTTGGTCAGTGGGTTGTAGCAGAAGACCTCGTTGGAGCAGACGGCCTTGGCCCCGGAGCCACGGATGCCCCCCGCCAGGAACAGGTAGTTGTGCATGGTGCAGAGGCCACAGCCCCGCAGCGGGGCCTCCTCCGGCACCTGAGTCAGGGGCCGCCAGGTGTTTTCTCGGGGGTTGAACACGTGCAGGTGCGTGCGGGAAGGCAGGGGTGCAGGCCCCGGAGTAGGAACCGCCTCCCCACAAGGGCCCCTGGTGACCCCTGAGCGGCTCACCCGGTAGAGGCTGGGCAGCACAAGGACCCCCAGCACCGCCTGGCCCCGGCCAGTCCGAAGGCTCAGGATGCGCTCTCGGTCCGCCCCGCTCAGCTGCCGGTAGAGGTTCGGGTCTCCCAGCACGTGCAGCAGATTGTCGCTCATCAAGGAATATGTCTCCTGCAGCAGGCCGGGCTCCGCGTGCCGCTGGGCGAAGGCCAGGACGTCCAGGCAGTTGCCCAGGTCCAGGCGTTGTCGTAGAGCTGCTGCCGAAGCCGGCTCGCGGGCTAGGGAGCTGGGCTTCCGGGGCCCCTCCACCTCCCCCCCGCTCCCCGGCCTCTGCAGAAGCACCATGAGCTTGCGGGCCTCTTCCTGCTTTCCTGGGACTACTATACCGCTGCCTGCAGGGCGGGGCTTCTCCCCTGGAGCCTCTCCCTGGCGCCTCGCCGGCACAGCCTGGCGGACACCGCGCTCGGAGCTCTCTGCTCTTTCACCCGCGCTGCGTTTCCGCGGTGGCGGGACCGGCTGTGAGGCGCCCCTGCCAGTGGGGGACGATTGGGGGCCAGGCTGCCTCTGCTCAGGGCGCGGTGATGGGGCCCCGGGCATTGCAGCTCCGGGCAACAGAGGGTCTTCTGCACGCTTCTCCTCGACTGCCTCTCCTCTCGGACCTGAGGGAGGCTCTGGGGTGGGAGCCTCCTTGGTCTCCAAGCGGCTCTGCTGTTGCCGACGTCCAGCCTCTGTGTCTGGCCCTGAGGAGCCATTCCTGACCTCCAGGCTGGGGGCGGCCCCTTCAGGGGCAGAACCAGACTCTCTGTTCTCAGAGGGTGCACCGGTGCTGGGATCTCTAGGGCTCTCGGGAGCTGCCCTTGGGGCTCTCCCCTGGGGTCTCTCTTGCCTGGGGAAAGGGTGACTCCTAAGAACCATGGAAATAAGATTTTCCCAGCTGGTTGGGATTTGCCCCTCCTGCTTGTCCTTGCGGAGAGCCGCACTATGGTCCTGTGCCGCAGGCCTTGACCCACTACTGGGGGCAGCGACCGGGGCTTCGGCTGCAGCTGAGGCTGGGGTTGGGGCTGACACTAGGGCTGGGGCTGGGGCTGGGGTTGGGGCTGAGGCTAAGGAAGGGAACGGGGCTGGGGCTGGGGCTGCCGCTGGGGCTTGCACTGGCCTGAGAGTTTCATCCTCCGCAGGACCCTGGCTAACTCTGAGGGACAAAGAGTCTGAAGGCGAGGAGGTTGGGCCTACAGGTAAGAGACCTCCTTGGGAACGCGCTGTCAGAGGGGAAGCCAAGGGTGGAAGGGGCTTAGGGATGCGCGGGGAGGGTGTGGCTAAGGGACTCCGGGAGGGGGCTCCCTGGCCGGTGTCTGTGGAGGGCTTTCCTCTGTCCTGAGGGCCTCCCTCCTGCTCACTGCTCTGCTCCCCCTGGCCTTGCTGGGGTTCTCTCCTTTCTCTCACGCCGTGGCCCGCTTCCTCCTCTGTCCCACTGGGCCCTGAGCTGAAGAAAGAGCCATCTCCAGAGCCATTAGCCCCAGCCTTTACTGTGTTGTTGGTGTCTGTTGTCCCCTGCCCTTGAGACAAGAGTCTCCCCTGACACCCCTCTGGCCATGGGCCCATGGAGCCTGGGGCCTGGCTGAAGCTCCTGGTGACAAGAAAATCCCTCCTCTCCAAGGGCCAGCCTTCCACGGAGGCTGGAGATCCCTGAGCCTTCCTGGGAGCCTGGGACCCAACCTCCCTGCTTTCCAGAGCTAGGGCTGGGGCTGGGTGGAGGCTGCTCTCCCTGCACCCCTTCTCTGTGCCCTCAGCCAGGGGCCTAGTCTGCGTGGTGTGTGATGGAGGCAGCTCCTGGGGGATAGGGGGCCTCTGAGAGCCTGTGGAGAGGCTGCAGGCTGCATCCACAGCATCCCACACACTCACCACAGTGCCCAGGCGCAGGGAGTCCAACTTCGGGAAGTGGCGGTTTCTAGCTCCTGAGCTAGAAACCTTCCACCGCCGGCTGCTGGGGCCTCTCTCTAGTGAGCCAGGTGACCCTATACCTCGTTGCCAGGGACTGGTGTCCTGTTCTGTGGTGTGGACCGGGCCCTGGTGAGTTGGCACCTTGACTTGGACGCCTCCTACCTCCACTTGTCCTTCCATCTCTCTGCCAGGACTCCGAGGGTTGAAGTGGATCAGGAGGGGGCCAGACGTCCCCCCTACTTTGCTTCTACCCACGAGGGCAGTACCTGGCCTGAGAGCCTCCCTTCCTTTACCTCGGGGGGCTTCTGGACTGGCATTACTTTTCTGCTGTCCCAAGGCCCCTCCAGTGGTCACCTCACCAGGTGTCTTGAGTGGAGGTAGAGCTGTGGCAGCCAGACGTCCACCTCCCCAGAGCTTCGGATCCTGGGCTCCTGCTGCAGCCGGACTCCCCTGGCCATGTCCCGGAGGGTCTGGCTTCCCCTGCCCTGGGCTGTTTCCCTCAATGCCACCACTGACCTTGGACTTCAGGAGCAGGGCTGGCCTGGCTCCTCCCACCTGCAAAGGCTGGGCCCCAGGGGCTTTGGATGCGGGTCCTGCTGCCTCCTGGTCCTGCCCAGAGCCAAACCAGTGCAAGGCCAGTGCGGTGGCGGCCGCCACAGCCAGCGCCAGCAGGGTCAGGACAGCGCTGTCCCAGTCACCCTCCCCGTCCCAGCCCCAGCCGAGGCCATCAGGCTCCAAGGCGCCCTGGATCATGGTGCTGGGCTGCAGACTCAGCGTGAGGAGCCAGGTCAGCAGGCTGGAAGCTGTGTGTGCTGCCTGCAAGTCGGTCCTTCACTCAGGTCTGCCCAGACGGCATCAACAATGCGCCCCGCCCACAGGGCTGCCCAGTTAAGGTGGACCTGTGCTGGGGGACAGTCGCTCCTCCTGGCCTAGGAGGGGGTGGGTCTCTGTGCCCGCGCCTGGATTGGGGTTTGTCAGTGGAGCCTAGGCGGAGCTCTCAGGAGTCAGCATAATACCCAAGAGCTCCAGGAGCTCAGGGGCCTCTCCAGGCCCACCTGCCCCCTTCTCCTTTTCCATGGGGTCCAGTGGCAAATGGCATTGTTCCTCAACATAATTCCAGATCCCAGCCAACCTGCTTCTACCTACAGACCCTCAGACCCCCCAAACTTCCACCCCATTGTTCCAACTCTGAGCCTGGGTCCAGCCTCAGGGGCTCTGTCAGGGAAGAGTTACCCACAGGGAGATGTTATCTGCAGCTTTAGCAACATGATGCAGCCCTGATGAAATTACCAGAAACCCAAGAAGACGGTTCCACTGTGGGCCAGCAGGGGAGAGGTGGGAGAGGCACACACCCCATCGTGCCAACACTGCAGGCTGGTCTCAGACTGAGGGAGACCATGGAGGGCATGCGTCCTGACACTAAGCACTGCCTTACAAAGTGCATCCTCGGGGCACCTAGGTGGCTCAGTCGTTAAGCATCTGCCTTCGGCTCAGGTCATAATCTCAGGGTCCTGGGATTGAGCCCCGCATCAGGCTCCCTGCTGTGTGGGAAGCCTGCTTCTCCCTCCCCCTGCTCGTGTTCCCTTCTCACTATGTCTCTCTCTGTCAAATAAATAAATAAAATCTTAAAAAAAAGAAAAAGAAAAAGAAAGAAAGAAAGAAAGAAAGAAAAAGAAAGAAAGAAAGAAAGAAAGAAAGAAAGAAAGAAAGAAAGAAAGAAAGAAAGTGCATCCTCCTGTCACCTCAGGTGTGAAGTGGAGACTTGCACTGTTCTCTCGCAGGACGTATAAGGGTGCTTGAGAAGAGCCAAGGCTAAAGCCCCCACCTCCCCTCTTCCAGCAGCCTCTGGACTTCCCTTACCCTGAGTTCAGCAGAGATGGAATAGAGTTTTCTAAAGGAATTTTCTAAGCTGTCAAGAGAAAAAAAATGAACAAAATAAAGAAAATCCAAAAGTTGTATTTCTCTCTTTATTGGCCTGGCTTATTACAACCCACCTGCACTTTCCAGAACCTCCTGGGCCTCCCCCTGCACCCTATGGACCATCTTGACTGCTCAGATGCCTCTTCCATGGTGCCCCCAGAAAGCCCTGAGCCCAGCCTGCTCTTACCCCTGTTACCTCATCAGCCAGCCCCCAGGATCCCTCAGAGACCCTCCTCTGACCCCAGGTAATCTATCAGCCTGACTTCTGGATATCTTTTCTCATTCCTTGGCCTTCCCTCATCTTAGCCAAATCACTCCACTCCAGCGTCCTCACTGGAACTCAGCCCCCTTAGAGGTCAGCACGTAGATACTTCTGCTGGGCATGCACCTGGCTTCCCTCAGCGTGGTTTTTCAGGGGAGGAGCCATGTCTCCTCCATTTGCGTCTCACTTAACCTGATCTCAAGAATAAGTCTTGGGACAAGTGGGGCCCAGATTTGAAAAAGAGCCAGGATCTCTGGGACAAAGCCAGGCCCCCTACAACATGTATTCATTCCTTTTTCTAGGACACGGGACTTCTCCCTGACTCAGGCAGTGAGGAGATGGCCAAGGAGCATCCCTGGCACCCAGCCTGGGCTCTGCTGGACCGCAGGTACCTCACCCATCTGGTCACCTCCCAGCTCCCCTGAACATATTAGATGACAGTAAGAGGGTGGAAGGCGGGCCCATGCCTTAAGGTGGACCTCAAGTTGGTGGCAGGGTTTATGGACATTGTATTTATTCCTGTCCCAGTCTCAGGTTCTGCCTCTTGGTTGTTTGGGGTCCAGAGACCTTGAAAAGTTGGAGATGACATGCACACCTGCACCTCCTTATAGGCCATGCCATACCCTATCAGGCATTTCTACCCAGCTTCTGAAAATACCTTTTGTTAGCAGAGCCCCAGGCTGCTGTCAGAGAACAGGAGAAGTGTCCAGCAAGTGATACCTTAGGGTACTATGGGGGGAGGAACCAAGCACAGGAAATCACCCCAATCAATTTCACAAGGTGTCAAGGACTGTGATGGGATGGGTCTTGGTGGCACAGGTGACCAAGGAAGGGTCTAGTTCCATCCTCTGTGGAAAGAAAACACCTCCCTTTGTCAAAATCCAGGGGTAGGGCAAAACTCTACCGCATGGAGAAACTCCTTATTGGGAAGGTGACCGGGGACATGTTACCTCCCTAAATTGTGGGAGATTCACCCTCCTAACTTCCCAGAGAATGTAAAAATGAAGTACTGCTGGAAAGGTGACAGAACATGAAGTCACCTAGACAAATCGTGAAACAAAAATTGTTCTAGTTGTGCTATGAGACAATGTAAATATCAAAGTTACCATTAAGGGGAAAAACAAACATCAAGAAAGTAGATCTGACCATTAGTGGCATCCTGCTGAGGCAGAAATCCTGTTCCAGTCTACACAAGGAATAGAGAGGGATTCATGCCTAGTACCTGAAGCTTCTGTTTCCTCAGACAGTCCTAAACAGGAATGGATGAGTCTCCTGCTTATCAGCAACCCACTATCCATACACTGGGAGCCAAGGAATAGAAGATGTATCCACATATGAGCTGATCCACTGCAGCCCCTCATAGAGGAACCCAGTGCTACCTGGTCACTGAGCCTGAACAAAGCTGGATGGTGCCCTGGCCACCAGTGTGCCTTCTCTGAAACAGTAGAAGAAAAGCACAGTGGCATAATGACATAATTCCAAATGGAGAGCTAATATACATAAGATGAGCAGCAAACCTCATCAAATGTAGGGTTTCTCTATTACTGGAATTTCTAAAAGCAGAAAATATTGCATAATCAGAAATGATATAAAACAAAGAATATTTAAAAAACAAAGTGTAATATATAATCTTATACTTAAAAGTATACATGTAATTTTATATATGTATAAATAAGTCTAGAATAATGTTTAAGGCTTAGAAAATATAAATCCCAGATTTAATAATCACACCCTACAGGGACTGCCTCTTAAGGAATTCATCTGACATGGGAAAAGATTTATGCAAAGAAGAAAAAAGTTATGTAAAAAAATAAACAATACAATATGATTTAAAATGGAAAAAAACTAAAACGTAAGCATTCAACAATATGGGAATGATGAAAATATGAACACGACTTTAAGATGTGGTATTGAAAAACTTACTTAAATAATTATTAATAATGTGGCTGTGAAGTTTAATACCAATATTAATGGAGATCCCATAATAGAAGAGGCATAGTATTTTATTTTTTTTAAAGATTTATTTATTTATTTATTTGAAAGAGAGAGAATGAGAGAGAGAGAGAGCACATGAGAGGGGGGAGGGTCAGAGGGAGAAGCAGACTCCCTGCTGAGCAGGGAGCCTGATGCAGGACTCGATCCCAGGACTCCAGGATCATGACCTAAGCCGAAGGCAGTCGCTTAACCAACTGAGCCACCCAGACGCCCCGAGGCATAGTATTTTAAAACAAGTTCAAAGTATGAGAAGGGAGAGAGAAGACAGAGATAAAGCATAATGAAAGTCACTTCTTATTCCAAAGGGGTGAATATATATCTAAATCTTGAAATCAGTTGCTAAGTTCAGTTAAAATGTAAGTTTAAATTTTTTTTAAATTCTATTTTTTTAAAGATTTTATTTATTCATTTGAGACACAGAGATAGAGAGAGAGAGAGCATGAGCAGTGGGAGAGGCAGAGGGAGAGGAAGAAGCAGACTCCCCGCTGAGTCAGGAGCCCGATGTGGGGCTCAATCCCAGGACCCTGGGATCATGACCTGAGCTGAAGGCAGACGCTCAACCATCTGAGCCACCCAGGCAACCCTAAATTTTTTAAAATTCTAAATTGATGTAGACATTTACCACATTCAGGGATTGGAAAACTTAATGTCATAAATATGATAATTGATGAAAGACAATTCAGAGATTCAAAAGACCCAATGAATGTCAAGCAGGAGAAATAAAAGGAAATTCATACCAAGATACACGAGAGTAAAAAACTGCAGCAAAGACAAAAGATGGAAAATCTCAAGAGCAATGCCCCCAAAAAAGACAAATCACCTGCAGAGGAATGACAGTCTTCAACTGACTTCTCAATGACAAAAAAAAAAAAAAAACTGTAGGCCAAAAGACAATTTAATGAAATTTTCAATAAGCTGAAACAAAATAACAACCAATCTAAAGTTCTATAGCTAGAAGACATATCTTTCAAGAATGAAGGCAAAACAAAAACCTTTCCAGACAAACACTGAGTCTTCAGTGAAGGAAATGCTAAGCTATCTCTGTATTTCAGGCATAAAGAAAATCATACGAGATGAAAGAACTAAGAATGCCAGAAAGAAAGAAGAGAAAAACAACAAAAATGGCAAGCATGTGAATAAATCTAAATGAGCATTGACTTTATAAAACAATAATAAGTTCTTGTGAGTGTCTTAATTATTTAGAATTAAGAGAAAAACAATAGAATCAATGAAACCGAAGTTAGTTCTTTGCAAAGATCAACAAAACTGACAAGCCTTTAGCTAGACTGATGAAGAAAAAAAGGAAGAAGACACAAAAAACTAAAATCAGAAGTGAAAGTGGGAATGTTACTACCAACCCTACAGGAAAGAAAAGGGTTATAAGAGGATACTGTGAACAACTGTACACCAACAAATTAGATAACCTAGATGAAATGGACAAATTCCTAGAAACACACAAACTACCAAAACAAACTCAGAAGAAATAGAAAATCTCAACAGACCTATAACAAGAAATGGAATCTGTAATCAAAAACCTCTCAGCTGGGGCGCCTGGGTGGCTCAGTTGTTAAGCGTC